AAATAAATAAAACATTAAAAATTTTTAATAAAAAAAAGAAATAAACTTTAAAAATAAGTTTTGAGGGGCGGCTGGGTGGCACAGTTGGGTAAGCAGCCAACTCTTGGTTTTGGCTCAGGTCATTGTCTCATGGTTCGTGAGGTCAAGCCCCGCATCAGGCTCCACGCTGACAGCGTGGAGCCTGCTTTGGATTTTTATCCCCCTCTCTCTCCACCCCTCCCTTGCTCATGTTCTCTCATCCTCTCAAAATAAACGTTAAAACAATTTTTTTAACATTTATTTATTTTTGAGAGTTAGAGAAACACTGAGCACAAGTAGGGGAGGGGCTTAGAGAGAGGGAGACACAGAATCTGAAGCAGGCTCCAGGCTCTGAGCTGTCAGCACAGAGCCCGACGCAGGGCTCAAACTCAGAAACCATGAGATCATGACCTGAGCCAAAGTCAGATGCTTAACCGACTGAGCCACCCAGGTGTCCCTCAAGATAAATAAATACACTTAAAAAGAAGTTTTGAGGTGGCCAGTGTGGCTGGGCCCCAACGAGGGAGGAGGAAGGTGGTATTGTTGGCATGAGAAAGGGAACAAGGGCATGGATTTTAGGATTTAGTCTAAGTGCAGCCTCTTGTTTGACTAGAATAGAGGTTTCTGGAGAGCCTGAGAGCTTGATGAGGAGGCAGAACTGGGAAGACTGGAAGCACTCATCTGCTCGTCCTCCGTGGCCGTAAGCCTGAAGGGCATTGATGGTGGGGCCCGGCACTTACACCGGAAGTAACAATACCACATCTGTGACAGCCATACGTGTAACCGTCCCCGCTCTAAGTGAACGGACGTGCCCGAACACCTGCTCTCGTGGGACTTCCATCCTGATGGGGTTGGTGGGGGGGATGCGGTCTCTGGGCCCACGGTAGGGCATGGTGGCCCCCGGCTGAGGTGTATTATAGGGACCATTACCCCGATATCCTCAGGTACTTCGTGGCTAGGATGATCTGTCCCTTGCACTTCCACGGTCCCAGTAACCGCAGGCTGGGAAGGTGGAGGGTACTCTCTTTACATGTTAGGAGTCTCTGCTTTGGGGGCCTGTCCTCAGGTTGGGAGACTGGTCCCATAACGAAGCGCTCAGGGAGTGAAACTGCTCACTTCCGGGAAGGTTCATGTGGATCTTGCTCCCACCTTAGCCACATGCCAGTGGACTGAGGCTTCTCCCGAGACTCAGTAGCTATGGGCAGAGACATCGCCTCTAGCAGTGGGTCCATCGAGCCAGATTTTCTTCTGGCAGCCAGGGACTGGGGGCTCCTGCGTTCTCTTAAGCCCCGAGCAGGGACATGCACAGAGATGGTAGCAGTGAGCATGTGATCTGGGAGTTCTAAAGTATGAGCTGTGGAATGCGGCCACCGGGGAGAGGGGAGAGGTGTCGGGGCATGTAGGGGAGCCGGGATGTCCAAACTGAACAGGGATTTAGGAGACTCCCTGGAAAGAAACGGACAGCCAGGGCAAGTCTCCCACTCCATCTTCTCGACCCCAGAAAGACCCAGGGAGCCTGAAAGAATGAGACCCTAGTGGAAGGAGACAGCCTATTCCCAGAGGAGTGTGCAGGGGGAGACTTGCTGCGAGAGGGAGAGACATGAGAGGAGAGAGGAGGGGAGCAGGCAGACAGACAAAGCCCCACAGGCACACAGAGAGAGGAGATGTGCATCTGGGGTCAGAGACCACCCAGATTGGGACAGAAGGGAAGGGAGAGGCATCCAGCCTCACCAAGACCCGAGACGGGCGGAAAGGCCAAAGCGAGGGAGACAAGCCATCACCCTCAGGGACAGAAAAGCCCCGCTTTGACACACCACCCTCCATCCTTGGCTGTCCTGATCCTTCTTCTAACACCCGTCCCAGTGTGGTAGCTTTTCTCTAAAGACGGTTGCCATCAATTTTTTCCTATACGCTACACCCCCACCCGGAGGAACCCTGCGGCGCCGTGGAAGCAGCCCGGGCTATTCTGTTGGAGAGGGACGCCCCGTGGTCGATCGAAGGGCCAGACACGTGAGTGAAGAAGCCACCTTGGACGTCAGATGCCTCCAGCCCCAGCCAGCATGTCACTGAAGCCACCTGAGGCCCCAAGAAGACCCACCTGCCCGAGCCCGGTCAACCACAGGACCGTGAAAGACAATGCTCGAGTGTCGTGTTAAGCCACACCGCTTGCTGCCCACCGACAGAGAGCCGGGCTACCCAGAAAAGGCTGCAGAGGCCTTTGGAGACCTGACGCCCCCATTCCCACATCCCGTCCTCACAACAAAACCAACGCCAGCCAGTCAGACTTTCAGTCCCTTTAATTAGGTGCGCTGAACAAAGGGCAGAATGACAGGCAGGTGGTGAGAAGATGCTGCTTCTTGAGCCTCCACTGGGCAACCGGTCAGTCCTCATCCTCCGGCAGCTGGATCTTGCTGGGGTCAAAGCAGTTGGACTCCATGATGGGGAGGCCGTTGGCCTCTCGGTATTTAACAAGCCTCTCCGCTTCCCGGCGGGCCCACTCCTGCATTCTGGAGGCAGAAGCACGGGGGTAGACATGAGGGGGCCCACACTAGACACCGATCCCCATCTAGGCCCCTCCCCTACTCCCCACCGGCACAAACAACAGGGTTCCCCGCGCAGTCGCCTGCAACCTCCACCCCTGCCTCTGCCCCCGCCCATCCCACTCTCTCCGACACCCCCATGCACCTGTAATCAGGCAGATAAGCTATAAAGGTGCTGCCGAGGACCAAGACAACGGAGAAGCCAAAGAAAAAGACGACCCGCATGTTCCAGAGGTCCACAACGGGGTCCTTGTCGTAACCGTGGGAGTCTGGGTTCTATGGCAAGAAGAAGAGGTCAGTGAGGGCTTCCTGAGGCTCCACAAAGCCTTACGCTGGCCGTGCAGAAGTTGGTCCCCAGTTTCATCTCAGACCAATCTCCCCTCCCTTCTTTAATTCCTCTTTCTAGTCTTAGGCCTTGTCAAACTCCTTGCTACCGCAGGGCCTTTGCACTTACTGGTCCCGCTGCCTGGAAAGCCTTCCCCCCCATTTCTCGTCATGGCTGGCTCTGTCTCCTCATTTGAAGTTTGGGCTTCATAATCACTTCCCTTCGGAGGCACTCCCTAGTCACCTTATCCATTACTGGTCTCACACTACAGGAAATTGCCACTGTCGTGGGTGAAAAATGCTTGAATATTGCCAACTTCCTATGGTTTCACCTGAAAAAACCTCCCCCCCGACCCCCAAATCACTCTCCATCCACTGATCTTGCTTAACTTTGTTTCTAGAAGTTGGGAATTTACCAAGACAGCATCTCCCCAGATCCTACCACATTAGTTTTTACTATCATATACTCATTATGCCCATTTCCAGATATTTTACATGTTTATTTTGTGTTCTCCATCATCATATATGCTCTATGAGAGCACAGGCTTTATCCGATTTCCACACTGCTGGACCCCTAGGGCCCTGAAACTGCACCTGGCATGCAGCAGGCCCTCCAGCCTTATCTACAAAATGAGTGAATAAATGAATGTGCCCTCCACATATCCAAGCCAGAGGTTAGTACTGATGAAGTACCTATTGTGTACCATACACAAACTCCACAATATCCCAGCGAGGTGGAAAGCAGCAGTAATAATTAACACCTTTCAGTGCTGAAAACTAAGAGCCAGGTGCTGTACTGGGCATTCTGACTCCTTTAATTACATGAGGCAGATGTAGTACTTTATTTTCTACCAGGTGTCCTAAGACTTTCCCCGTTTTCCGAAGAGGCACCGGGGAATGAAGCTACTCGCCCAAGGTCACAAAGACGAATGACCGGCAGGCGCCTGTATTCCAACCCTGGGATTCTGGTTTCTGAGTCTCTGCTATCAACACAGCACCAGCAGACCTGGTTCCGCCACATAGTCGGTTATGCGAGTTTGGGCGAGTCACTTAATATCATTATGCTTCAGTTCCCTCAGTCTGTAGAAGGGGTATGCTACTGGTGCCTGCTTCGAAACAGGGCTGTTTTGAGGCATACATGAGATAAGGTACGTAAAGTGTCTGCAAACACCGCATCGGTGTTTAGTACTGTTATCGTTATACCATACTGCCCATACTGCTTCTAACGGGTTTTGAGCACTGCCCACTTCAGGTTTGCCATCTGTCTGCAAAATAAGGCCAATCTCGCCTCTGGCCCTGAACCGAAGATCACCGGGGGATAAAGAAAATCAACCTAGGCAAAGTCTAGTTGAGGCCTTCGCCAGCAGCGCGATCCTCGGCCCGCTAAGAACGTCCTCTACGGCGCCCCGTCCGCCGGCCCCCGATTGACCCTTCTGGCGTCCCGTTTCCCCCTCCCTCTCACCTTCTCGTAGAGGTTTTCGTCCTCCACGTCTGGGTCCTCCTGCCAGCGTACAGTCGGTTCCGGCGTCCGCTTCCCTGCCACAGCCGACGGGGCGATCACAGCCCTGGACGAGCTGGAGTCCCAGCGAACGCGGGCGGCCGGGAGCCCTCGCGTCGCCGCTACCGCCGAAAGGCGGCGAGCGCACAAGCCTAACAGCCCGGCCGCCATGGCAGAGTGTTCTGCAGACTCTCAGGGGCGGGGACGGAAGTGCGACTGCGCGCAGCTGCAGTTGGCTCGAGCGCGACAATTATCGCTCCGCCCCCGCCGCACTAAATAGGTCCCGAGTCCGGATTTTGTTTTCAAATGTGGCAAGGGGCTCAGCAGCCCTCTTTCCCTCCGCCTGCCATGGCCTCAGGGAAGCGACCAGTTTTGTAACCTCTCGGCCGGGCTAAGGCATTTACGGCTGATAGGTCGGCCCACTTCCTTGATAAGAAAGCGTTGACATTTGGGTGGGTGCAGGTCCCAGCCAAAGGGCCCGGAGATTTCTTTGGGGTAAAGGGGCGGAGCTTCCGCCTGCCTTTCCTCTTCGAAGGAAGCCAAGCTTCTAAAAAGCGGGCATTGCTGGATTGGCCAATAGCTACTCCTTTTTGCTACTTGCGAGCGTTCGCACCGAGAGTGGGGAGGTGGCATACGCTTGCCAATCAGAGCTGCCCGGGGCCTGCCGTCGGCAGCCGACGACCAATAGATGAAGCCGAGCAGAGCGCGCTCCCTTAGTAGGTGGATGGTGGTCGAAGCGCCGGCTCCCTTCTCGCCGTCGCCATTTTGTGCTGGTGACTGCGGCCGGCTGGGAGTAGGCGGCAGTGGGTTTCCCGGGGAGGGTGGCGCGCTTGGCGCTTCTCCCCTCCCCGCTCTTCCGCCCTCCCGCTTCCAGTCTCAGACTTAACGCTGGTGCGGGCCGGCCCCGGCTCAGCTGGGAGAGTTGGAGGAGGTGGCGGCGCGCAGAGGTGATGTCCGGGAGCCCTCCCTTGACAGCCCGGGCCGAGAAGGTGAGCGTCGTCGCTGGTCGTGGGGGCGGAGGTAAGGGGCCGGGGGCGGTTGGGGGAGGAGAGGAGGTGCGTGGGCGGACTGCGGGACGTGGGCCTGGGCGACGCGCGGGATCGAGGGATGCGTGCATGGCCTGAACCCGGGAGGGGGTGTCTCCCCCCCCTTTTTTTTGAGAGCGGAAGCGCGTGCGCGATTGGGGCACAGGATGGGTGCACGCGGGTTGGGGGAAGGGAGAGGTCGAGGAGAGTGGGTTTCGGTGGCTCCCTGTGTTTGCGACACCGAACTTTATCCGCGGGGAGGCCGTTGGCTTTATCCATACGGGAGAGGGTGTGCTGTCTGCTCTGTGTGACTTGGGGTACTTACCAGCCCATGGGGACCTGGTCCTTATTCTTGGGTGGGGGAGGAGGGCAGACGTCTGTATGACCCTGGTCTTTATCCTCGGAGTACGTGCTGTAACTCAGGTCTTTAGCCATGGGGAGGGGTCCTTATCCGTAGGGAGTCGTCTTACTACTGGTCCTAACCCCCTTGCTAGGCGGGGAGGGAGTGCAAGGAATGCGTGCCTGACTTTACAGCCACTTCTTTCAGAAGGGGTTCGTATCTGTGACTCTGACGCTCCTCTTTTGCAAGAGGGCCTCGGTGTGTGATCATGGCTCGTATTCGTTGTGGGCTCCTGTCTTGTGCTTTTGGCCTGTAGATAGCCGGGGCTGGTGTCTGTGATTTTGGTCCCTCTCTGTTGTGGATACCGGTGTGTGACTGTGTGACTCTGACCTCTTCGCGAGAGTCTCTACCGAGGGTTTTGTACCCGGCTCCCAATCACTGGGGCCCCTGGTTGTGATCCTAACTCTTACCCATCTGGGAGCAGGTAACTCTGGCTCCAGGAGGAAGAGAAAATCGGTCGTGTGTATACACGGAGGAAAGGTGTGGTGGCAACCTGGTGTTGGGCAGGTGTTGTTGCCGCCTGGCTTTGCCCGATTCCTGCTCAGAGGGTGGGGCCTGAAGATTCTGGGATACTTCTTGGTGACCCCTGGCCAGCTCACGTGGCTCACGGGACTTACTTCGTTCTCATGGCAGGCCTGGGGGTTGGGTGAGGCGACTGCCCTTCCACCCCAGCTGGGAACAGCCTCAAAAGGACTCCTTTCGCCTCGGAATAAGTTGGGCCTAGAGCCCTAGGGAGAGAACCATCTTGGGACCTGGCTGTGCCTAAGAGACAGGGCTCGAGGCTGAGCCAGTTGCCGAGTAAGGGCCAGAGCAGTGTTTGCCAGGAGCCCAGGGAGGCGGCTGCTGTCTCGCTGCCAAGTTAGCCCCTTTGCCCTCTAGGCCTTTCATGATCTGCTGTCTTGTAGGGGGCAGCCAACATCTTGTGGGGAGGATGAAATGGCACCTGGGGGCCCGTGGAAGGAGCCTGGTGGGTACGTGGGACTCCCGTGGTGAGGTCTTGCCTCCCAGCCTAACGTGCCTGACCCCAGACAAGTCATCCAGCGCGGAGAGCCCCCCTGGGCAGGTAGCTCCAGGCTTGGACTCCTCTGCCAGTCTCAGATGGCAAAGCCCTGATCACAGAATAGGTGGCATCACCAAGTCTCTCTGCAGGGTACTCCCTCTTTGCTGAGGGCCTTGCTTTTTCCATTTTACTTTAAGTAAGCTCTGCGCCCATTGTGGGGCTTGAACTCACAACCCTGACATCCAGAGTTGCGTGTTCTGACTGAGCCAGCCGGATGCCCCTGGCCTTGCTATTTCTGGGGCGGTGGGGGAAGGAAGGAGCAGGCCAGGTAGGGGCTGCCTTCCGGCCCTGGTCCATAGGAGCACTAGGAAGTTGGGAAATAGTATCTCTGGCCTAAGGGACAGCAGAGAGCCATGAGAGCAAGGGTTTCTCAAGGAGGCCCCAACTCCCTTGACCCCTTTCTTCCTTCTACTCTCCCCAGAGTCCCTGCAGGAGGCATCACCCAGGCTGGCAGATCATGGTGGCAGCAGCGGGGGTGGCTGGGAAGTGAAACGGAGCCAGCGGCTGAGGAGGGGCCCCAGCAGCCCCCGCAGGCCCTATCAAGACATGGAGTATGAAAGACGGTGAGTTACCTATTCCCACCCCTACCAAGCATCCTAGGCTTATCCCCGTGTAGGAAGTGATCCAGGAAGGTTCCAGGAGTGGGCTTCCAGGCAGAGGAAACAGTGTAGCAGATGATTGGTTTCTTTTCAGCAGACATTTACATGGCACCTGCTGTGAGCCAGGACCTGAGCTGAGCTCTGGGAATGCAGTGGTGAATGAGACGGATAAGACCGCAGCCTTCTTACTCAGGCTCTCACAGGGGAGACCGCACAGTTTACAGGGGGTTGGAAAACAGCTCTAGAGGTGCCACGGTTGGTTCTGAAGTTGGGAGGGCTCGAGAGAAAGGGAGGAATGGTGCCTGATGCTCGGGATTCCATTTCGAGTATATGGTGCCTTTCACCAAGGCGTGGGCAGCCCCTGCAGGAGGCGAGCAGAGGTGGGTGGCAGATGGGCGGCGGTGGCTTGTACGGGCCTGCGGATCCTCAGGGGAGGGGTGTGGGCTGTAGTTTTGGGTTGGAGGGACGAATGAGAGCGATGCCCTCCGAGTCGGGATTTTGCACAGGACAAGTCTAGGGCGAGCCGGGTCAGGTAGCAGGAGGCTTCAGGGACGGGGTGGGCTAAAGCGTGTGTGATGCTTGTCCCGGAATGGAACGCTCTAGTACGGTTAGTTTTATTTTATTTATTTTTTTTCATATGGTTATTTTTAAACTCTAGTAGGAACAGGAAACAGTCAGGACACTTGGTAAAATACTCTCACCAGCCTGGCGGATCACTCTAGTTGATTCTAATGTGGATGACGTATTCCTGACATTTTAAGATGGCATAGGAAAGCAGACCTACTGCCCCCAGAAAGTCTCTGGTAAGAGTCAGTACGTTAAAAAAAGAGAGCGTAGATTTATAAAAAGTCAGAGAGGAAGTAATTTTTTTAATGGCTTATAAAAGGTTTCTTTTTCCACCGCCCCCTTTAAAAATGTTTTCTGCAAAGTGAGCCCAAATTTGAGATGTGGTCATCATCGAGTGCTATTCAGCCTCCTTCGAAAATGTCTTTTGAGAGCATTCAGTTTGGAATTGTAGTCACTGAAGTACTCCATTGAGTAGGTGGCACACTTGCTTCAGACTTTACACCAAATAAAGCCACTGTCTGTCTTCTGGCTTTCAAAGGACCTCAACTGCAGAGGTTTGAGTGGATCATACCTTTTCAGTTCAAGGTAGGTTTCTAGCATAGGTCAAATACAGAGCCTTCTCTTGCCGTATTTGGTTGTTCCTTTTTATTTCCAATTCCCGTAGCCGTAGGCAGCTGCTCTGTCCTATTCGAAACGTATCCTTCTAAAATAGGTAGCACAGGCTAGGGTGTCTTTGTTTTTAGTTTACACAAATGGCAGAGAGCTACGGTTTTCCTTTTGTTTCCTGAACTTTGTATTACTCAGGACTGCATTTGTAAGATCTGCCTCTACTGCCCTGTGGATATTAGTGCTTTTCTTCTAATTGGTCCCAAGGACACCGTCGGGTGTGCCTGTTGCCTTTTACTTAATGATTCCCTCAAGGATAGATACCTGGGAGCGCTTGGGTGGCTCAGTTGGTTAAGTGTCCAACTTACGTTCAGGTCATGATCTCACGGTCCGTGGGTTCGAGCCCCTCGTCAGGCTCTGTGCGGACAGCTCGGAGCCTGGAACCTGTCTCATTCTGTGTCTCCCTCTCTCTCTGACCCTCCCCTGCTTGCGCTCACTTGCTCTCTGTCTCTCTCTCTCAAAAATAAACATCAAAACATTTTAATTTAAAAAAAGGGGAAGGATACCTGTAAAATTCATCACTTTTTTGGTTTTGTTTTATAATCTGTGCTTTCAGAATCTTCTCTGTTCCTACTTCTGGAACACAATGATTGTTTGCACTTTCTAGTTTCCCCTTTCGCGTTCAAGTCTTTAATGACATCTAGAGTACACTTCTGAATAGGTTGTAAGATATGTTCTGGTTTTGTGTTCCTCCATATAGTGGGGAGTTTTCCCAGTATCGCCTTTTTTTTTTTTTTTAATGTTTTTTATTTATTTCTAGGAGAGAGAGAGAGAGACAGCGTGAGCAGGGGAGGGTCAGAGAGAGAGGGAATCACAGACTGAAACAGGCTCCAGGCTCTGAGCCGGCAGTCAGCACAGAGCCCGACGCGGGGCCCGAACTCACGAACCGCGAGATCATGACCTAAGCGAAAGTCGGACGCTTAACTGACTAAGCCACCCAGGCACCCCCTCGCCTTTTAAATAGTCCAGTTTTTCTTTATTAATTTGCAGCACCTCATGTCATTTCAAGTTCCCTCATGTATACGGATCTGTCTTCTGTGATCTGATTTGTTTCATTGGTCTGTTTGCTTATTCTCAAGTCAGAACCTCACTGTTTTTGTTATTATGGCTTTATAGAATCTCTTCCTTAGCTCCCACTTTGCTCCCTTATTTATCAAAGTTGATTTTAGCCATTTGTGGAACTTAAATGAAAAATGTATCAAGTCCCTCAAAAACATTCAAGAACTTTGAATTTATATATTGATTTGGGGGGAGAACTGTCACCTTTATTAAGTGGTAATCTCATCCAAGCCCTGTACGAGGGATTTTTTTTTTAATGTTTTAATGTTTATTTAGTTTGAAAAATTTTTAATGTTTACTTTTGAGAGAGAGACAGAGTGCAAGTGGGGTTGGGGCAGAGAGAGACTGAGACACAGGATCCAAAGCAGGCTCCAGGCTCTCAGCTGTCAGCACAAGCCCGACATGGGACTTGAACTGACCTGAGCCGAAGTCAGACGTTTAACTGACTGAGCCATCCAGGCACTCCATGTACGGAGAATATTTTAAAATTTGTTTAAAAGACATACCCATTTGAATAAATGAAAATACAAGTCTTGCAGAATCCTTCGGTGTTTCGGTAGTCTTCATTGTCATCTTATTTTCTTTTATATTTTCCAAGCTGGTGTTTGCTGGGGTAAAGGAATGCTGTTGATTTTTTTTTTTTTAAATAAGTTTTCTATCCCTGTACTCTCTTGTTATTTCTGATTTTTCCTCGTCAATTCTGATGGTCTTGCTAAGCGGTTGGTCATGCTGTATGCAAATCAATTCTGTCACTTCTTTTTTCTCACTTCTAATGTTGTCTGGGATTTAGAACCACATGAAATAGCGCCAGTGGTGCTGGGTGCACAAATTGAGATTCATCTTGGCAGATTGTCACAGAAAATCCAAAGAATAATGGCTTAAACAATGCAGTTTTTTTTCTTTCTCATAAAGGGCATCTGCAGATAGGCATTCGTTCCCAGCCCGGTAAGCAGTCCTTTCTGCTTAGCCATCAAATCGGATGTGTGCTGTAGGCTTTTAAAATGCAGCTGTTAATAAACCAAGAAAATTCTCTAACCTTCTTTTGCCAAGATTGATCAGAAATGAGAATCCAACTTCAGAATTACATGCTTTTTTCTCCATTAGTCTGTCAGTTTCATAAATCACATTAAATTACATCCTTGCCGGGGCACCTGGGTGGCTCAGTTGGTTGAATGTCTGACTCTTGGTTTCCACTCAGGTCATGAGCTCATGTTTTGTGAGTTTAAGCCACACGTCCGGCTCCTCGCTACGGCGTGGAGTCTGCTTGGGATTTCTCTCTCCCTCTCACTCTCTCTGCCCCTCCCTGGCTTGTGCACTCGCGTGCACTCTCTCTCTCTCTCTCAAAAAATAAACATTAAAAAATTAGTTAAAAAAATAAACTACCAAAAAAAATAAAATAAAAAAATAAACTACATTCTTACCTTTGTCGGGGTATGCCCTCCTTGATCATGGTGTGTATGTGTATGTTTCTAACTTCTTATTTTGAAAAAACTTCCAATATTCAGAAAAGTTGCAAGTACAGTAAACTCCCTTATATCTTCTACCCAGAACCAGCAATCCTAAAATTTTGCCACATTTGTTTTACCTACCTACATGCCTCACCATCCCTTTCTTCCTCATCTCTCTCTCTCTCTCTCTCTCTCAATACGAATAGATATTCATTTCATCTATATATAGACAACATCTATATATATATATATATATATATATAGACAACATTTTCTTTCTGGATTGTTTGAGTTAGTGGCGGACATGACCCTTAAATACTGCATGTATGTTCTAAGAACAAGGACTTTCTTGGGGTGCCTGGGTGACTCAGTTGCTTAAGAGTCGGACTTTGGCTCAAGTCGTGATCTCACGGTTTGTGAGTTCAAGCCCCTTGTCGAGCTCTCTGCTGTCTGCACAGGGCCCACTTCGGATCCTCTGTCCCCCTCTCTCTCTGCCCATCCCCGACTTATGGTCACTGTCTCTCAAAAATAATAAACATTTTTAAAAATCTAAAAAAAAAAAGAACAAGGATGTTCTCTTCCTTTTTAAAAAAAATTTTTTTTTAACTTTTATTTATTTTTGAGAGAGCATGGGCATGAGAGGGGCAGAAAGAGAGGGAGACACAGAATCTGAAGCAGGCTGCAGGCTCTGAGCTGTCAGTGCAGAGCCCGACGCAGGGCTTGAACACACGAACCGTGAGATCATGACTTGAGCTGAGGTCGGACGCTTAACCGCCTGAGCCCCCCAGGTGCCCCAAGGATGTTCTCTTCCGTAACCAAGTACGCTTACAAATATCAGGAAATTAGACATTGTTAAAATACTTTTATCTTCTATAAAAGTTCATATTCATTTTTTTTTTTTATTTTGCTGCTCAAACCTAGGAACAAACCAAGGACAAAAGTCCATATTCAGATGTCCTCCCTTGTCCTTTATTGCGCTTGTTCCCTAGTCTAGGATCTAATCCAAGATTGTGCACTGCATGGAGCTCCTTTGTATTTGTGGTTCCCTTTAAACTGGAACCATTACTCGTTCCTCAGTCTTTTTCTTTTATGACTTTGATAGGTTTTAAGAGTACAGATCATTTGCTTTGTAGATATTTCTGAATTTGAGTTTTTCTAATGCTTATTCATGAATTTTTGGCAGGAAAATTATTTTCTAATATCATTGTTCTTATTTTTCATTTT